GGGTCATTTCGGGTTATTCCCGGGTTCTCGGGTCAACCCGAACCCGACCCGATTTTTCAAACGGGTTGGTTTTCAGGACCCGAACCCGACCCATTTCGGGTTCGGGTCAACCCAAACCAGAAATATTCAGGTCGGGTTCAGATCGGATTTTCGGGTCGGGTCCAATATTGACAAGTCTAGTAGATTCCCATATTTGGGGTTTGAGTCTTGCTTTGAATCACTTACGTTTTACTATTTTTGTTATCTTTGTTGATAATTATTCTCGAGTTATTTGGATATATTTTTTAAAATGTTGGTTATGAGTTCGTGCATTTTATAAGTTTTATCAAGGAATTGAAGTTCAAAATTTTTACTTCATTGAAAGTTTTGCGCATTAATTATTCTTAAGAATATCTGAAAACCTTGTTTCAAATTTTTGGTCTAAAAATGGTATTCTTCATCAAACCATATGGTCATATATCTTTCAGCAAAATGAAGCTGAATAATGTAAGCATTTTCATTTACAATATGTCACTAGAAGACTCATGTTTCATATGAAAGCCCCCTGCCAGCTTTAGAGAGATTCGGTCCAACTATCTCGTACCTTATTTATTGTGCCCCCTTCACACTTATCAACAATCAATCACTACTAATCAGCATTTTTTCTCCCAAGCTCTTATTTTTTCTCTTAATGGGTGTTTGGTTTCCATTGCTTTGTTTATGATTTTTGCCTACATGCTAATCTTTCTGCAGGTTCCACCCATTGTATATTTGTTTGGTCCTCCTGAACCTAAAAATGATATAAATTGGATGATCCTTTAACCAAATGTTTTTATACTTAAGCTGATGCCACCTTTCATGAAAATACTCTTGAATCATCTCCATCTATTATGCTTACCATTATTTCTTTGCTCACTATCTCTTTTTTTTTTTTTCTTGTGCACGCTAGAAGACCTCACCACCTCCTACTACAAAACCTATCCCATATTTGCTCCCTACCAAAGGTTTTAATAGTCTTTTTGATAGATTATTTGGATACTTTCATTCTAGTTGTTTAACTCGACTTTATCATAATTCTACTCTTTATTACCCTCAATCAAGACTGGCCTATGCTACAAATCAATCTTGGTAACACCTTTCTTTATGGCGATTTGAATGAGGCCATATATATGGAGCAATATCCTTGATATGTTGTTTACGGGGTGATATATGCAACTTAGGAATGCCAATTATGGTCTCATGTAGAGTTCTCGGGCTTGTTTTGACAAATTCTATAAATTTCTTACAAAATTTAGCCTTCCAAGTAATATTGTCGATCATTTTATCTTTATCAAACACACAACAAGAGGTCCCAATGGTGCTAGCCATTTATGTTGATGGTATATTACTTAAATTGATAAAAAAACATTTGAAGTTATGCTCTACCTAGGATTATTTTGTAAACAAAGATCTAGTGTGCTTTAAATACTTTCTTATGACCTCTCTATCTCAAAGAGCATATGCTATTGATATCCTTGTAATAACTGGACTTTTAGGGTGCACACCAACTAACTCTCCCTTTAACCAAATCATATCTAGGAGTATATACCATATGATGATATATTTAGTATCAAAGATTAGCCTAAAAATTAATTTACCTTGATTTTTATAACATCAAATATTTCTTTTGTTGTTGGGTTTATAAGTCAACATGTGTAAAATACAAAACAAAAGCATTTAGTTGCTGTTATTTAAATTCTAATATGCATTTAGAAGACTCATGGAAAAGAGATGTTATGTACTCAAAAGGAGCACGTAAATACAATCATTCACAGATGCCTATTATGTTAGGTTTGTTGATGATAGAAAATGTACTATTGGGTACTATGTTTTTGTGGGAAGCCATCCTGGAGAGTACGAAGTAAACTAACTTGATCTAGTGCTGAAGCAAACTATAGAGGCATTGCTCATTCTATTTGTGAATTCGTGCAACCATTTGTTCTGCTCGTAATTCTATGCTTTATGAAATAACCAAACACATTAAAGTTGATTGCCATTTCATACGAGATGTTTTTTTCTAGAAGTTTTACTCATCATGTTTTCAGTTCAGAATAAGCGGTATATATATCTTCACCAAAACTCAGGTTCCTCCCTCATTTTCTTGCTTCTGTAACAAGCTAAAGTTAATAATCATATACCCTCTAATTTGAGGGGAGTGTTGGCATATTAGGGACTAATACACCATTGTTAAGTAAATAAGTTTTTCCAATTATCTCCCTTCAACAAAATCAATCCATCATAATTTTTAAAAACTCTGTGCAAACCAATTACGGAGACGGTTTTAATCTTTTTTTTTATCCACCTTCATCCATGATTACCATTAAGCATGCAGTGAAATAACCTATCACTTTCAAATGCCTATTTGCAGGTGTATTCTCCAAGAGTACCCCTTCTTTCTCATCCAACTCTATAAATCCTCAGGGAGGTTTGATGCAGGTTTACTGTTACTCTTGTATGATTAAAAGTTGACTTATTATAATTATTTTGTTTCTCATTTTTCTTTCTCTTTTATGTGAAAAACTGGTAGGGTGATTTGTGATGTCGCAGCAGCTTTGTATGATTATATGTCAATTTTGTAATTAACTAATTACCAATCTATCCTATCTGTATGAATGCCCAAATTAATTGATATTTGAACTTTGGTTCCGCAATTTTAGGGGCCTTGATTGATTTCTATATTATATAGGAAAGAGGAAATGCAAGTACGATTGGCAAAGGAAATATTTTTTGTTTTCACCTATACCAATGCAAAACTAGTTTTTAAGATGTCATTGGTTTGATTTGCAAGTGTTTGTTGATCAAGTCTAATGATGTTAATGAAAGATCTAAAGTTGTTGAATGTTTGGTAGTCTGATATTAATGTTGATCTCATAATGAATCAAGGTTTAGAAAGACCTAACCATGCTTCAATATCTGTTTTTTATCTTAAAATAGCATCAGTGAAGGTTAGATATGGTGATATTAAAAATATCAAAATAAAACCAGTCTCATGATTATATTACAAATAATATTAGACATGTGCCATAAGAAATACTAAATTTCTTTATTAAATGCAATTTAATTCTAGGAAGTATTGGTAGTGATCACATTGAGCACAATGTAAAAATAGTAGTGACAATATATTGAAAGACTGACTAAGAGATTAGAGAGTAAGAATCTAAAATGAAATCGATTTGATTTGTAACTGGATTAGATTGGCTTATATTTTGTTATATGTGCTCTAATACATGTCATTCATGAGGGGCTACGAAATAAGTATTGAGAAATTCCTTAAAACATATACTGGGGCAAGCCAAACGGTGTCTTATGCGTTTTCTTAAAATTTCAAATTTTGGCATATTGTGTTGGTCGCAAACATGGGAGCACTTTAAAGTGTTGGCACTTCAAGATTGGACTGATGCACTTTATTATGAATTTTGAGAGGTCTATGGATTAGCCGCACAAGAACATGCCCAATGGGCGAAGCATTGAAAATTTCCTTAAAACATATACTAGTGCAAGGCTAATGGTGTCTTACACGTCTTAAATTTTCAAAAGTTTGGCATATTGTGTTGGATGCAAACATGGGAATATTTTTTGAGTCTTGGTGCTTTAAGATTGGATTAATGCACTCTTTTATGAACTTTGAGGGGTCTATGGATTAGCCCAACAAGAACATGCCCAAAAGGTGAAATATTGAAAAATAATGACCATAGGAGTAGAAAAAAGTTTTAGCATTGTTTCCTTTTTTATCCTTTCATAATGTTAGTCTAAGTTTATTGGAAGTCAAATTAATTGTTTAGTAAAATATGTAAAGAAGTTGTTGAAGCATGGTCTTTTTTGAGAAACAAGTTGATGACCTAGTGGAATTTGGTTATGTAATTTGCGATAAATCATGGTTTAAAAATATCGTGCCAGTTGCTAATGTTTTGGTTTTAGAGCTAGCATTGTACACTGTTTAACATACAAGATGGATATATCGAAGGAAGTTGCTTACGTCTTGGTTTTAGAGTTAGCATTGTACACTATTAACATGCAACATGGATATATTAAAGGTTACTTATGTTTTTTTAATCACGTCCGCTTCTCTGCCTTGCACCTTTTACTTGCGGTGGGATCGCAGATGATTTTTGCATGTCCATCTAGACTACATATAGACTAAGTTTCTTGGAGGTTAACATATTTAAAATTAAGAAGTGGAAGTTTTGTTTTACTGTAATTTCCAATGGTTTTTTTCTAGGTATATTATTATTAAGCTTTTTTTATTGCTTTGGGATTTTTTTTTGTCTTTTTGTTTATCTGTAATGATTTGATGTATACTCTTTTTTTCTAATCTTTTCTTCTCCTCATTTCTCCCTAGTTGCTCTTGTTCGTTTTTTTCCTTTGTAAGTTTTTCTTCCATACTACCTAGTTATGATATCAAATATCCCATAAGTTATGTGTACCTTAAGGGTTAGTTTGTTTCAATGCAAATGTTTGGAAGTGATTAGAATTACAACAAAACCAACAAGAACATCAAGCCTTTGTCCCACTATGTGGGGTCGGCTACATGAATCATTTTTCCTCATTGTGTCCGACTAAAATTCAAATTCTCATTTAAATCTAATAAAGAAAGATCATTTCTAATATTTTCTAACCAAGTCTTTTTAGGTTTACCTCTGCCTTTCTTAACATAAGTAAAATTTAATACCTCAACTTTCCGAACCGGGTCATCGGAAGGCCTCCATTTAATGTGACCAAACCATCTAAGGCGACTCTCTGTAATCTTATCTTCCACTGGAGCTACTCCAACCTTTTCATGTATATGCTCATTTCATATGCTATCTCTAAGAGTCAAGCCACTCATCCACCTAAGCATCCTCATCTCTGCAACACTTAACTTAGTATTATGCTTCTCTTTTAACGGCCAACAATCGACACCATAAAGCATTGCACGTCTCACCACCATCTCATAGAATTTACCCTTAAGTTTGAGGGGGACTTTTCTATCGCACAATAAGCCCGATGCATTCCTCAACTTCAACCATCCAACTTGAATTCTGATGATAATATCCCATTTATTTCACCATCACTCTAAATAATAGATCCAAGATATCTAAAACGTGTACTCTTATTAATGACTTGATCGCCTAAAGTCACAACCCCCTCACTAGGTCTATTGCTACTAAAATTACACACCATATATTCAGTTTTAGATCTACTCAAGCGAAAACTTAGACTCTAAAGTTGACCTCCATAATTCAAGTTTACCTTCAACTCCCTCTCTAGTCTTGTCAACAAGAAGAAAATCATTAGCAAAAAGCATACACCAAGGTACATCTTCTTGTAAATGTTTAGTGAGAACATCCATGACTAAAGCAAAAAGATATGGACTTAAGGATGATCCTTGATGTAATCCAACCGAAATAGAAAAATACTTCGTCAAACCACCTTGTGTTTGAACACAAGTAATAGCTCATGCATACATATCTTTAATGATTTGAATATAAGCCTTATTGGAAGTGATTGGAATTGAGTTTCAATTTTCGTTTGGTAGAAAATAGATGAAAGGTAGTTCTTTATTTTGAAACTCATCTTCATAAAGGTGTGACATTAATTTGTGTGAGTAATGAGGGCTTGGAAGTCACCTTCATTTTTATTTTTTTGCTTAAAGAGTTAAGTGACATTAAATTCAATGAAATGCACGCATAATTTTCGCCAATTAGGACCCATAATTATCAAGACTTATGCCCTCTTTTGTTCTAATTGTGGTGCCACCTAATTGAGATCCATACTTCCTACTCATCTATTATGATTATTCTGTAATTATTGTTTTCAGATTTTATATGTTTCATATTTGAAGCTCTTCTAGGATTCTATGAATTTGTGGACTATTATAATTAGTCCATAATTATTATTCTATCTACTTATCAAAGTATAAGATATTATAATTATTATGTAATCATAATTTTAAATTTTGTATATTTTTTAATTGAAGAGTTTTTAGGATTGTATAAATAAAATACAAATGTTGGAATGAAATCAAAAGCCAATTCTTTCCAATTCTTGTTAAATTCAATCGAGGTGAAGTTATAATATTATTTTTATTTATGATGTCAATAAAATAATATAAAATTGATGTGATTATAGGAAAACTGAAATTCATTGTAATCGAAATAAACGCTGAATTTGAGTTCATAAGAAGTGAGTTCATGCATCAAAATTCAGTAGAACTCTCTTCAATGAAATTACTTTCAGAACTAAGCTCCAATTATTTTCAAGAACTTGCGTACTATAATGTAATATCAAGCAAAGAATAGACGCATTAGATAAACTACTGGGACGTTAATTATGTAATAAATTGGAAACAGGATGGTAGTTGTGACATACTTTTTGGTGTGATGCTGCCATAGTATTCTTGAACCTGAAGTTAGTTGGATTATTTCTTGTGCGGTTACCTTGAAAAGAGAATCAAGAGAGTTTTTTTTTTCTTTTCCCTTCTTATAAGCTTATGGTGATGACTTAGCTTAATTACCAAGCTTGTATGATATTAAGATATACCACTGACTGGGAAGATGATTGCCAGCATATATGAAGCTGATAACAATCAAATTACCTATTTTCCCATCACAGCATACACTGATTAATGAAACTGGAGGGTGGAACCAATAATCATTTTATTGATGCCTGCTAAGGTTTAAACTTCCCATCTGACTTGATCTGCAGAAAACATATATATCAGCACAAGGAAATTTTTTTTGCATTGACTGTGTTTTTTGACTGAGAAGCATAATTCATGTTTCACCTTTTTTTTTTTCTTTCATACTATCTAGGATGGGGAATTTTGACTAGCAAAACATTTTTGTACGCTTTAAAATTCTTTTGTAGGTTAAACTTGCTTCAGCCATTGTTGTATTTTATTAATATTTTCTCACTGATTGTTTTTACTTCAGACTACTGGAGGGCAAATGATTGGAAGATCCGTTCCATCACCTTCTGGTGTTTCATCTTCATTTGACAATGCTTCGACACCTCCTCCACCATATGCTAATTCACCTAGATCTGGTGGAAACATTATGAATACACCTTCACCACAGCAACAAACACAGCAGCAGCAGCAGCAGCAGCAGCAACGACAGAAAATGATGCAAATGCCGCAGCATCAGCAACAACTTCTTGCTCAACAACAGCTCAGGCAACCTTCGAGTACAGCAATTCTAGCACAGGTTCTTGAGAATTCGATTTTATGTCTTTTGATTGCATAAGGTAAATATTTATATTCTTTTTTCTGTAACATGGCTTCATTAGCATTTAACAGGAGAATGGCAAGAACTCTGATACCATGAGTTTATGATATGGCTAATGAAGGCGGTGTTTTTCACAGAAAAATGAATTGTTGACGCATTACCTCTTAGCTGCTAATTTGGATGTGAAAATGAGCATGACTCCTCTTGATTCCATATATAACCTTTGTGCTCAAAGTTTTCAAACTTTCTTTCACCTTATCACTCCAATTGCTCTATATGATACTGACTACGTTTACAGTTGTGCAAAATTGAAGGTTGCTGTTAGGTTTATAGTACTTCAAAAAAATTCAATATTGTTGTGTTACACCAGTTTTTTTTTTTCTTTTAGGAGACTTGAGCACTTTCTATCTGCCATGGGTCATATTGCCGATCAATTTGACTATACCCAACCAATGTGACTAAATCTCTTTGATCCTTTCAATCCGCTTTAGGTCAAATTGGCCGACCAATTTGAATTTGGCAATCTAATGTTGTCAGAATTCTCTGGTTTGCACTTCATGTTTTCTGCATGTTTGGTTAGATTTAGTATGGCAAATGAACCTGGCTAACTTCTGTTTGTTGGCGTAGAATAGGAACTGATCATATACTATATCATGGAAGATTTGGACTGATTTGAGCGTGGATATAGGCATAGATTTGATGCTTTTAATTTATGGAATAGATATCCTTGTTAGGATGGTTCTAGAATAAAGATATTATTTTGCAGCTTGAAAGTTTTTTGAGATTGAGGTTTTTATTCATCTTTCTTGATTAAGGATCATATGTAAAACTTCTTTTTTTAGCTTATACATTTATCTGTGTGAAGAGGATTATTGAAATTGTAGAAGAGATTATTCAAGAATGGACTTTCTTCGATGGAGGTGAAGATTGCTTTGTCTTTAAAGTGCAAAGTTTGATGAAGAGATTGTGCAATTGCTACTATCATGTTGATTTAATTCTTGTTTGTTTTATCGTTCTTTTCTCATTCTTTACTCCTACTCTTCTGCCTATCGCTTCCTCTTTTGTTATTGGTTGCATTGAGAGATCATGTTTTTTTAGATTTTCACAATTAGAGTTTGTTTTATTTCAAGAATTCTTATTGGTTATGATACTATTATGATCTCATCTCTTGCGAATGAATTTTTTGCGGAGTTTTTGTATTGATTCATCCTAATTTAGTTTTTGTACTTTTTGTTTAATCATCTCTAACAACTACCTATTTATGTTAACAGATAAACTTTTTGACTCTTTGTCGAGTTTTGACTTGGAGATAATTGCATCTTTGTCAAAGAAATACCTTTTGCATGTTTGATTTTTTCATCTTTGCATTAGATCACCTAGGAAAGACTATACCTTGATTCGTTGACTTGATCAAATTTGGTATTTGAGATTCGCATAATGTCTGCTTGATACCAGAATTTTTATCAGGATGGTTTAATGAATTTTCAATGTGAGGATCCTCCGTTTGTTCTGCATCAAGAAATGATGACAATATGCTCCCAACCTAATTTGATTCTACATAACTAATAATGGAAGTTGCACAACCACTCATTAACACGAATGTACTTGATGCTCTAGTCATTTCTCTAGTAAAGTGTAGTTCAGACCACTAATGAACATGTTGATCATGGTGTTTTTATTGTTCTATTAGATGGCATTGGAAATTTGAAATTTTAGGATCATAGTGGATTCTACCCCAACTCAGCTTTTATTCAGCATACTTGAAGTGTTGCATCTAGGTTTCTTTATCCTCTTTATAGGCTTGGTTTTGAATCTTGGTCCCAGCAAGGTATGAATGCCATCTCTTGATGAAAAACTTGGTCTTAGAGGCCTTCTTTGACTAGCTATTTGATATGGACCATTATTTTGAGTAGGAAAACATGTCTAATGATTTGAAGGTGATATTTGCAAACTGAAACTTTTTGGGTAAGCTAGTCTTAATTCCCAAGTTTACCATTTCTGGATTTCAAACTAGCTTGTGATCCTACAATAGGATTTGGGATTTTTGCTTATACCTCAATGGTTTAAGGCTTATTACTTATCTCCTTGTAAAAAAGCCACAATATACGATTACACAATTTCAAATCCTAGGGCAGTCATAATAATGTCACCTTTTTCAATCTTACATTGTGACATCTGCACACACCGGAAGTATTGCTGCATCTTAATGAAGTAAAACCACCGTTGATAAAGGAATGAGTGTAGAACTATGGCAGGTACATATGATTCCAAAAACACTGGTTGCACATGCTCAAAGTGTCAGCAAAGAGGTTGTTGTGTGCATGAATGTATGACTTGATTCTCCCCAATGTTGTAGATTATTAAAATGATAAGGCAGCCCCAGAAGTTGAAGTTGAACCTTGCTAGGATGTGAATGATGCTTAAGAAGCGTTAGAGATCTTCTTATAATGTTACGTGTTGTATTTCAGCTACTATTTGAATGATTGATGATTATGCAAGAACCGCTCACCTACTTTTGGAGTGGTGAGCCTGTTATTAGCAAGAGTTGCTTAAACATGATTACAAAATTTAGTCTAGTGCATATGAAACTTAAGCCTAAAATTCATTGGCAACTTTTTATGGTTGTTTGGGTTTATAGAATTTTCATGTCTATTACACATTTTCTAGTTTTTAATCATTTGGCTGTTTTCTTTGATAATTTTTGTTTTGATGCTTTACCTAATGGATTTTATACTTGTATTATTTGGTCATCCATGGCCTTTTGAATTAAGATCTAGATGCTGCTCACTTTGGTAAGTTAAACTTATGTTTTCAAGCTTTAGTAAATGTTAATTCTCACTCCTTCCCTGGTGAAAGATAATCCTACAAAATCATGAAGGGCACCAACACACCAAAATAACAAAATAATCCACTTAGCCTTAATCGTTTTGAGTTTGAGAATGTAAAAGATTAGGAATTGTATGTGAACTCTCTGCTATAGAAACTAAAAATTTCAGAAAATTCTTCGATTTTTTTTTTTGAAAATTTTAGTAAAGTCCAGTCCGACTTTGAAGAACCATATATCACGGATTTTCCATATGATCTTCACCCTCTGTTCCATACAATATATCCTATTATTTAATCTTTTGGTTCATTTTATCTAACCTTGCACATTATAGCATTAATCTTGTTGAACATTTTGAGTCTAAAAGACAGTAGGTTCTTATTTACTAGGTATTTATTAGAGAGTCGTAGTCCTTGTGTATTTCTAGTCTTTCTTACTTCTAAGAAATATGGAAGTAATTGCATGTGTGATAACTATCCAAAATTATTACTATCAGTCTATCACACTATACTTTACGTCCCCTTCTTAGATATGGATGACATGATGTGTAAATTGGTAATCTTTTTTAAAATTAATCTCCAAGGTGGTTATAATCAAATTAGGATTCTTGAGGGAGACTATTGGAAAATTATTTTCACTTCTAGGAAAGTGTTATGTGACTACATCGGCTATGCCTCTTGGATTGTTCTGTGCAACTAGAATATAATGGGAATTATGAGCATGTCCATTCTCTCGTTAGTGATTTTAAATTGTTTATTTTGATAATATTTTGATTTATAGCAAGTCTAGAAGAACCACCTTGTTCATCTTAGGAGGGTTCTTGAAGCCTTGCACAAGGAAAATTTCATGTTAATTTTTATGTGGTTATCTTTGTAACCTCTTTTACAATAATCTTAGGCTTTATTTTTTTTTTGGTAAGGGTGTTTTTGTATATTTTGAAAAATGTAAAAACTATTTAAGAATGCCCTAAACTAATAGTATTTACTCATAAGACAAGAAGTTTCCATTAGCTAATTAAATTTAATAAAATATTTTAAAGTTCTTTAGCTTTAGAACTGTTATTGCTCTCATTATCACTTGAGTTATGAAATGTGATTTTAATTGAACTGAATTGCTTAGGGAGCTTTCTAGAAATTGAGAGTAAAATTCAACCATGCTGCTATTTTTAGATTCCCGAACTTTATAAATCTTTATATATATATAAAGATTTTGACCTTCATGTCCTGAAGAATCTAAGCTCTCAAAGAAGTTGTGGTTAAGATGCTAAGTGGGAAGAGACTTTGCAAGGGTAAACCTTTGCTGATGCCATCAACAAGATAACAACCAAATTACAAATCATCAATGTTAAAGTAACTGGATTTGAAAGGATATGATTGACTACCCTTGTTTTAGTCACAAACAAAAGTGCACGAATTCCAAATTTATTGATTTGTTCTTAATGATTTTTTAATTCGAAGGATCAGGCTTATACATTCTTCATTCTTTTCTGAGAGTTTTTTGTTCTTAGATCTTCACATTGGGGGATTAAATGAACTCATTGGGTGGGGTAAAACAATGGGCATAGTTGAGTATCATTAGTTTTAGCCCTGTCTTAAGCATGCTGTTGCATTGCTTGTTGCACAATGCCAAACTTGTTAGTTAATCAAAGGTAAATGAAAAAAAATTGGCTTGTCCACATTGCTCATTTTCTTCACTGTGGGAAGGCAGCAATATGGACTGACATAGTGATTTCAGGTTGGTTCCTATTCATAAATATATTTTCTTTTTAATTAGGACATCTTTTCTTTTTTTTTTCCCTTCAAGTTGGTATATTTGTAAATAAGTCTTTATAATTTTAATTGGGGCTAGTTTATTTATATTCCTATTCCCCCTTGTTACTTTGTAGTGTTTGGTGTGAGAAGTTCATGTTATCCTAAGTTTTGGGAAGGATTTTTATTTTCTTGGAGTGGTAGAAAGAGGGAGGTGTTTGTAGCGGTGTTTGGGTTTCTTCTACCATTTATGCCAAGATCCTACCCCTTTTTCTGGTAGCCACTTGTGGCAAGCAAACTACTGGTGGTTGGCTATGGATGCAGCATAAGGCTCATTGCAGGCCGTCGGTCTTTGAATGGTGCAACACCAGGGGTGGAAACAATACAATTTAGTAATAAGTGGTTCTTGGCTGTGTGGTAAGGGCAAATGCATTTTTTCCCTTTGCAGTTCATTTTTCCAAGGTTCAAAATATCAATTCTTTCGTTCTTGGAGTCTTGGAAAGACAGTTCAGTGGCAGTCCATGCTAACATAGTTGATTGAAATTCGAAGAATATCTTGAAGGTTGATAAGAGGAAGGCTTTTGGGCTCAAGAATCACATACTAGGTTTTCCGTTGTTTTCTTATTTAATTATTTTGTATCTTATTCGTCAGTGTTCATAATCTATCTGTTATTGGGTTTCTTGTAGGATTGGTGGCTGTGGGGACGTTATCAGCCACTGGTTTTTGGGTCATGCAGCATCAGGTGATCCCCATGGCTGCTGGATACTTTTGTGTGTAATCATTGACAATGGGAAGAGCTCTGACAATTGCAGCTGGGCTGTTTGATTCTACAGTGGGAGAGACGCAGTCAAGCATGGAACAATATCGTAGAAATATCCCTTTGATTGGCGTGCTGTAGGCTGCATCAGGAAACCTGTCTTCACAAGGTCCTTTCCCTAGCATGGAAATCATACCAGTGGTGTTTTTTTTTTTTTTTGCCTTTGGGGTGCACAGAGAGAGGTGTTTTGGGTACAACAAGGTTATTAGAAATTGGAAAGCATTGGAAGTGTGCCCTGTATTCCGTTTATTATTTTTCATGATTATCTTAGCTTGTGGATTTAGGACCAGACAAGGATTAGGTGTTGTTTAATTTTCTGTATAAATATTCTTGTTAGATCTTTTTTTATCCTTGGTGTCAAGTGGTATTAGAGCCTTTGTTTAGAACGATGTATTGGAGGAATCGCCAATATCAGGCCCAAGAAATCACTATGGAAGCCTTACAATGAAAAATTCAACTTTCACAACAATGTGCAACATGTGAGAGGTAATCGTGAGGTGCTTTCAGCCAATTTAGATGACAACTAACAACACAAAATGGAAAACTCCATCAAGTATTTCAAGATTCAGTCGAAGAGGAAAAACACTATCAAAGTATTTCAAGAAAGAAACCATTGATGCAAGATCAAGGCTATGGGGTGAAAATGGGATTTTAAGTGTGGATTGAGTTTTGGCAATTTCAATAATTGTATGCATATGATAGGCGTGCATTTGATTATATAAAGTATGTACCAGTAAACATGTTAAGTTGGTGACTATTAAATCGAAAATTTGTGTGCCTATTTGTTGAGAAGATCATAAGAGAACTAGGTCTAGGAAGGGGCAAACGCTAAATTCTTATGTAGGAAGTTACAAAAAAATTATATTTGCCTTCCCATTTTTGGCAAGGCCTTTCACCGAACTCCACAATTTTCAAAAAAGGAACTGTGCGTAAAAGATCGTATTGTTGAATTTAAACAACTTGTGCTAAACTGTGCTGATTCTGAGCTTGAAGAACATATCATAACATGTTTTATTGGCAGTTTGCGTTTGTCAATTGCAAATATTGTGCAATTATGACAATATTGGACATTTTTTTGTTACCAGACTAGCCTTAAGGGTCAAAAAGACAGCAACCATCAAACAAAATTTTCCCTCTAATCCCATGATAAGAATCTTGTAAATATGGAAATAAAATTTATGAAGGAACACATTGGCCCCACCTAAAAATATTTCCTTTGATCGATCTCAAGTTGTTGTTGGTAGTCGTAAAATTAGTACATCTAGGAATTGGTCACATTGCTTCCTGATGTTCCAATTGTTGAATAGTCTTTAGTTAAAGAAGCACCACAGGAGGCTAAAAACAAAGAAAAAGAATAAAAAGAATGCTAGAAGATGAGGATTAGCAATTATTGCATACTGAGAGAGGGGAATTGCTAATCATTCAAGTGCTGAGTGTCACAACCCGGCCCGGTTAGCTCGTATAGACGAGGCGGGAACGGAAATCGGACAGGCAAATAAACCATAACTTATAAACTTTTTAAAGACATAAAGTATAACTGTAAGAACTTCAACACGTAGGAAACAAGCGCCTCTAATCATCATATAAACAAATCTAGCATTTCATATAACATATATGTACAAAGATGTCAAAAAAAAAAAATCTAACTATGCATTGCAAGAGTGGCTTTTGTTAAAATTTTCATGTAATTGAAAGTTCTAGTTCATTGCATGAACTTCTCACAGGTTTTTGTGCTTGTATTATCTGATGTTTTACATAACTATTTTTCACTACAAGAGTTCTATTACTGTTTTGTTCCAATTTGATTTCTATGCTTTGCTATTAATCATCTTTAGTAACTATTTATTTGTATGAGATGGTAAGCTGCTTTGTGACTCGTTACATGAGTTTGAGTTTTATATTAAGGGTCATTTTGGGCAGCTAAAGTTGTAAAAATAACTGCAAAGTCCTTTTTGAAAAATTTGACAATAAATTTTTAATAACTATCTGTTTCTCACCACAAATTTTTTTGAAAATCAGTAAAAAGATTTAGTTTATAAGAACTTATTATAAATGCAAGGCATAATTATTCCGGAATCTTTGCATTAAATCTTCTAGGAAGCCGTAGACCATGATACTTTGTATAGTATCACTATGTCTATCTGATCAATGGCCCGTTTATGTTAAATGCTTTCATTAAGATTCTTTATCAAATAGACACTCATTTACATAGATACTAATGACATTATTTAACTTGCATGGTATGAAAGTACATTCCATCCTATTTGTTCTCTGAACTAAAGAAATGGCAAGCGTGGTTACCCATAGAACTTCTGGCGCAGAACTATTTGATGCTCCTTAACGATCTTCTAATCTATGCTTACCAACTGTTGGACAATGCTCTATACCTTTATATGGCTCTCTTTAACAAGTAACTTGATTTATGCTTAACTTCTTTTATTGGTATTTTCTTGTGGCTTATTAGACTAATTTCTTGTTAAGTTGTATGTTTTTACCCAAATAACATAATCTATTTTAGTGACTTAATTGAAGATTTGTTTTGCTGCAGGGTACCATGACTCAGTTACATGATTTACAGGGGCAAGGTCAGCAGAAGTTTCAACCGGTATTGATTCAGAGCCTTCTGTTTCACTAATTTTCTTGTGTTTGTTGTATGTGGAATGCTTCCTTTTTTTTTAAATCATGTAAATGCATCTTTATGATAGGTACCTGGACAACATCAAATGCAATATTCTCAACCTTTGTCCCAACAGTTTCAAAACAGGCAACTACAATCTGCACATATTCAGCACAACATAGCACAAAGCCAGATAACCCAAGGTGGACAACTAAGAAACCAGTTGAGCCAATTTACTGGATCTGCAAATAGTGCCTTGTTCAATGCTGCACAGACATCTCCAAATTCTCAAATGGTTAGGAAAATTTTGCTTCAAATGGCTGCTTATTTTTTTATGTTGTGATGTTGTATGGGGCACCACTTGCCATATATTCTACAACATTGTGTTCTATGTTGACAACCATTTGTTGGACAGTTTGTGTGCTTTGAAAGAGTTCTATGATGACTTGATCAAATCAGTGCATAGGAGAGCAAAATGGTAGTTTGCTTATGTGCTATTAGGTTGTAAAAATTAATATGACAAATAGTAATCAGTATTTTATTCCATATGTGTGGCTGGAAGAACAGTTTTGATAGAACTAAGCATTTGGGCATCAGTTTTTCTGATGCTGTGGCACCTCAATAGGTGATGGAGCTCTCTTATATTAACGTTTAGATGCCTTTGTATCAATGGAAATGTTATAAACTTTTGATTGTATTACAGATGAGCTAAAAATGCCCCAATTTGTCAGACAAAATTAGTATTAAAGGATTATGAAGGAAAAGGGATTAATGCCACAGAAGACACTCAAATATGAATGAATGGAAAATGAGGATTCATTAATTTGTCCTCAAATAGTTAGGATAAGGCTAATGATGATAATGATAATTTTGTTGATGATTGTCTGACATCTTTTTTGGTTATGTATAATTTTGATGTTCCATTTTTTATCATTATTGATGGCATTTGAACTTGGAATAAAGAGTTGAGCATTCTTTATAGTTGACAGTCTCCTACCTATTTCAGATCACAAATATGTCAGCGGCAATGCAGCCACAATCTATTTTGACACGAATGCAGGTGAGTCTTTCATTTCAATTGTCAGCTTGATTGACCTTTGGATTAAATAACAATAGTATTAACATCCATCTTTAACTTCCTTATTTTTCGTTCGGCTAGAGTTTACCTTTTTTCTTTTTTTTTTAGAACTTAGTCCTTTACTTTTTAGATTAAAAACATTAGCTGTACATATTTTCATTTAAAGAGTGGAGCAGACCTACATTTTACAATGAAGAACATATAATTCTTCTTTTATTAGTGTTATGCTAGCTGGCTCTTCAAGTCTTCATAATCATTGATGAAGATGTCTCAGCTTGAATTTGAGTGAAGTTATCTATGTCCTAGCCTCAATATTAAGCCTTCCACTTTGATAATATTCTTTTGTAATTGCTGCAATAGGGTGGTGTATTGTTCTCAGTTCATATAGCTGGCTTCACATTTTCTCGAACAAATTGTCGATATCACATAATTGAACTTGGCTAAATTTATTGTACTCTTTTTGTCCTTTTGGGTCAAATTGCAACTTCGATTTTCTTGTTGGCTCTTAATGAGCTTGTGTATTGCATTCTTTAGCAAGTTCTTTCTCTATTTTCAGTACATCGATGGCTTTCTTCCTTTAATTTCTATTTCTTGTTCTATTCTATTAAAAGTTATATTTCCTGAATGCATAATAGGGCCTAAAGTAGTAAATCAACTAGATTAAATATAAGATTTCATCATTTAATTCTGACTTGTTTCTTTTGTATTTATCAGTTTGGTTTATCTGGTGGACATCCTCAAAGAAATCTTCAATCACAAATTCTAAATGATCAGAGTAAGTAATAGTTCCATTGACTTACACAATTTTCTGCTCATTTTGATTTTGTTTATATTGCTAAAGCTGTAGATAGTTCAAAGGTTAGAATTATCTCAAGCATCGAAAAGGCAAGTATTCGATGGCATTGCAATTGGTTGGATTTTGATCAGCATTCATTATGTTCCATGCGTTCAATTGGCTTCATTGCTATTTAATTTTTGGGAATTTCTTACCAAAAGACTTCATTGCTATTTAATTTTTGGGAGTTTCCAACCAAAAGACTTCATTGCTATTTAATTTTTGGGAATTTCCTACCAAAAGACTGCCCTACATGTATGATTTTTTTGGCATGCCACCCAAAATTTTAATATAACTAGAACCCCACCCTACGCTAGACCTCCTTACTAGTATGTCACCAAGTTATGCTCATTGCTTAGATGAGTTAATTATCCCTTGTCTTAAACCTCTGCATGGGCTTAAGGAAAAATTGAGAGCATAGGTGTATTTCCTTATCAAGGCAAGCCTCAAGACATCTAAGAGTAAGCCTTGAACTAAAAAAAAACCATAAAATTAAAGGAAATTCATAAAATACGTCATAAGACATCTATAAATTAATTTAGTTCATCATTATAAACTTTAAAATCGTGCAATAAGAGAGAAAAAAGCAAATCTTTGTTTTAAATATCAATCTAATACTTTTAATTCTTAAGTGAAATAGGTTTAAAATAAAGCCCTCATACGCCGATAGGGTTAGGATCTATGATGCACAGATAATTCTCCACAAAGAGATATGCAATGTCCGACTTGTATCAGACACGACACGTAACCAACGTGCCTTCAACACGTGTTGAACATGTCGAAGATGTGTTCGATTAAAAAAATATTAAAAAAAATTTGACACGAGTCTAAAATATTTTATGGCATTTTTTTAATATAATTCTATGATCTTCTAATTCCGTATCATCATCTTCTTTAGAATCTTCTTCAATCACTATAATTATCTTCTTAGTCTCTACATCACTTAATATTAGATTCAATATAATTTAAAATAAAGTAGCAAATTGTTGACATAACTAAATAAGCTAGTATAAATAAATTACCCTTTAACTTTTTGATACTTTAACTCTATTTTACTTATTTCTCTTTTTTGATTGTGAAGCAGAGGCGCATGTGATGCAGAAGTTGCACCCAATTCAATATTTTATTATTATTAGCAATGTCATCTTCATTTTCATCATCACTCAAGGCAATTCCTTCTTTTTTAATTTGAATTCCTTTACAAATTTTTGAGCGATCCGTTCATCATCATATTATTAACACTCAAATGATTAATTCCCTCATCCATTATCATTCAATGTTTAACCACTAGCCTTTTTTATACTTTCTTCTAGTACTTGGAGTTAGTATCATATTTTAAAAATGGATCCTTTTTTTTTCTCTAGAACCACCAGCCATAATAATAAATTTACAAAAATGAAAAATACAAAAAAATAAACCAGTTCAAAAGACTGAGAAAAATCAATTAAAAAATAAAAATAGTTAAAAAGAAAATTAAAAGATTAAACCCTTAAAGAAATAAAAACAAGCAGATAAAAATAAAGATAATGAAATACCAGTTTAAGAAAGTATTTAAAGGTAAAGTAAATAAAAAAGGGTAATTTGACTTTGTCCTCATAATAGTAGAATTTTTGCCAAAATACCTATTTGTTTTTATGGAAAAACATGCCGGAAATTTCGTTTCAGACTAAAATACGATTCCTATTATTATAGCTCAATTGTTTAGGAAGAACGACATCAGGCCCTTCCACACTTCGGCTTTCTCTATTGTTGTTGTCGTCATACTTTCGATTTTTCTTCATTCAACTGGGTTAAATGACTAGTTCATCGGCAACTTCAGTAGATATGGGTATGGTATGTTTTTTAGTGTTTTTATTATGTTATTTCAATGGGGCTCTAACTACAAAGCTAGATAGAATATCAAAGAGTTTTAAAAATTATTAAAACATGTGTTCGAATTGGATTCTAACTTTGTTTGAATCATTGATCAATCATGATTCTAACATATTTGAACACAAGTTTGAATCTTATTTGAGTTATTTGATCATGGTTTGAATCTTATTCAAGTCATATTTTAATCATGTTCGAATATGCTTCGAACCATAATTGATAATGGTTTGAATTTTATTGCAACACATTGTACCAACAGTTGAGTTAAATGATGATTAATTATTTTCTAAAAGTGATTAAGTATGCATATTCTTGTATTGTATGGAGAAGAATGAAAACTAAGTGATCAAATCAGTTGACATTTATTAGAAAAAGGAGCAAATAATTGATCGTGCAGAGAATTATTCCTCTTGAATATCTCATAGATTTTATATACAAAGTGATTGAAATTGATAAAGAATCAATTTGGTCTAAAATTGAAGGCGAACTTTTGGTGGAGCACAATCCACAATTTCAATTCCTGCAATTGAGCTACTATCAAATTATAATCCTTTTTCTTCTTGAATGTGATATCCATATCCATTCAACATTAATCTCCAGTATGTGCTTATTTCTCCAAAAGAAAATTAACTACAAATTTTTATGCAAATAAGGATAATGCAAGATTAGTCAGTTCTTCATCTTTCACTTGTGTAGGTTTTGAAGTAGACATACAGGTTTTAGATGATTGTGGTCACATGCAATGATTCAATGCTAAGTTCATTACGTATTAGAACCTTAATTTGTGATTTACCTAAAATTAGCAAGCATATTAGTTCTTTTGATTCTTCTTAAATCTTGGGGCTAAAAGCTGAGTACATGGATAACACTTATCTCAAAAGAGTCAATATTTAAAAATACCTCTAACTCAATGGCTAATGTTATAGTGGCCTTATGCTCAAGTATGTCCTCAGTTCAGTTGTATGTTGGGCAGTTTTTTTAGAGTAAATAATAGTTAAAAGAGGATGTAACATAATACATATAGATGTGATAGAAAAAGAACCATTCATTCAATGTTAAGAAATAAGACAAAGTATGGTATGTTTTTTGCATTTATGAGAAATGCTCATGGAACTAGCTAGCTTTGAGATGCAAATTTAATTTTGTTTGAGAGCAAGAATTTTGAATCAAAATGCACTTGCACTTTGAATGTTATATCAAAGATTACTGTCGAGCTCAATCATTGCTCATTGGACATATAGTCAAGGAGAAACTCATTGAATTTATTTTAATGTAAAACCAAAGACGAACATATCAGGTGTGAAGAAGAACCACAATATTGATGGCTCTGCCATTTCTTGCAATACCGAAACCGCTACTTCCTCCATGCAGCACAAGCTGTGGCCTCTATTTAGGCTTCGTTTGAGACGGCTCTTTTATTATTTCTTAAAATAATTTTTGAGTACAAAAATTTTAGTTTTTGTACTAGAAAGCTATTTTAAGCAACAAAAAAATTGTCTCAAAGGAAGCCTTAATTTCTCTGTCTTTATGACAGACTATTTCTTGCATGTTTCTTATTAAGAGCTTTTTATGTTTGGTTGGCAGTGTTCGGCATGGGTGGCTCAAATACAGCTAGTATGGTGGGAATGCAGCCTCAGCAGCACGGCGCACAGGGTGGATTTGGTAACATTCCTTCAAATTCACAGAACATGCAACAAACTATGACTGGACTTCCAAATAACCCTAACTTTCAGCAACAAAGGCAGCAAAACCAACAGTAAACGAAGATCTGAAGATTGGTGCAGAAATTGGTCTTCTTTCCTGGAGAAAAAGTGCAGGAGAGTAGCAATTTGAAGTTCATTGTAAGTGCAGCTCGGTGTGAATAATTTTCAGTGGCGATATCTTAAACTATTGAAGCCTTATTACGAAGATGCCTCCTGATAACCCTTAATGTATTCATTAATGTTAAACGTAGTTACAATCTTGTATGATCTCTTTGAGGCTCAAAATCATTAAGCTTCAATTTCGGTGATTTTTTACATAAATTTTGTGTATTATTTATTTTATTTTTGAAATTTATTTGAATGTTTCTTGAGAATAAAGTTCAGTTTTGTTACGGGCTAGAATATTCGTGATGGTAGAGTAAATTTTTCGTTTTAGCGATGCACAAATATCCAGCACGTAAACATGTAATTTAAGAGATAGAGAGCAGTAAAACACTAGATATTTTTTACGTGGAAAATCCGAAAAGGGAAAAATCATGGCACCTCGCCCAAGTGAAAAGGTTTCACTAAATTTAAGTGAATTAAAAATGTTTGACTCATCCCTTAACTTAGAGGTGGTGAAATTACAATAGTTTGGAGAGTTTAGCGGAAGTCCGACAGCGATCGGGAAGAAATTTGGCAACAGTTGGGCTGAAGTTTGATGGCGGATGAGTGGAAGCCCAGTGGTGGTTTGATGATGCTTGGGCGGGGGTTTGGTTGCAGTTGGCGGTCGGGTGGAAGTATGGTGGTGGTTGACAGTTGTACAGTGGTCCGAAGATGGTTGGCGATGGTTGGCAGCTGGGTGGAATTGTGATGGTAGTTGGTGGCTGGGCGGAGGTTTGTCGGCTTTGGTGTTGGAGCTCTTGAAGCATTAGAGCTCTCACTAATCTCTAGCAAAAGGTCCCTTTTATATAGAGTGATATTCTATTTATAGATTTTTGAAAGTGGCATATTCCATAAATATGGAGAATATATGAAACAGGTTTGGAGTGGTCCATCGGATGACGCATATTGATTCCCCTAATTATAGAGTATTTTTCAAATATTTTAGTGCCTTAATAATGTTCGAATTAAAAGGCCTTGTGATTCTAACTACGTGTAGTAATTCATGAATATTTTTATATTTGTTATGATCTTATTAAAAGATGAAATTGGCGAACGTCCCTTTTACCCATGCATGCTTATAATAGCAGCTAGAGATATAAGTTACAATCAAAGAAGGAAAATTTTTTTGAAGCACTAATTAATTTATAATTCAAATTTAGGTCCACTTAAAAATAATGATATGTTGATATTTTGTGCTGAAATATTTATCTTTTTGAGATAAATATAAAGCCACAAAAATAGTTTATGGCTATTATGTTTGTAGTTTATAAAATTCATAAAAAGTTTTAAAAAAAGTCATATCAAAAGTGGTGAACAATGTGAAAACTGTAAAAATTAGAGACGATATGAAGATAAAGAATGGCTGCCTATAGATAAGGGCATCGGAGGGCTATTTAGTGGACTGGAGTCTAAGAGGAATGTAACCTATGCCTGATGGACACACGAGGAATAAGAGAGAGAGGGTCAATTCAACCAAATCTAAGAACAAATATTCTCGAATTTAAATGATTTTTATATATTTCTAAATCATTATGATCTTTGAATTATTTATTTTTAGAAGTCGCCAGTTTAATTTCTTGTGACTTAAAATTAAATGAAAAATTCAGAGTCCAATGAATTTGACTCAATTTTATGTGCAATAAATGATTTAAAATCGTATCGAAATTATACCCTCCAATTAGGAGAGATTATTCTGTGCAGTGTTCGAATGTGCCCGGAGGTCAATGCGGATGTGTCACATCATCTAATGTACTGTACATTAGGTGTTGTGGCTGTCCCAGAATGGCCTTTGAATACATTCGAACATCGCACGTAATAAGTTTTCCCCAACTATAGGGAGAAATTGCAATCAAAGAATGAAATTTATTACTTTGAAGCTCTTGATATCAAATTCCATGGATTTGATGAATAAATTGAACATCATAGTTCAAATTATTGTATAGCTAAAGTTAAGAGCCACTTAAAATGTCGAAGTACTCACCTTTTATGTTGAAATATATATCTTATCGAGGCAAGGCAATCTAAATCTATAAAAAATTTATGAATAAGAAGATTATACTTTGTACACGTTATAGTAATTCTAGGAAATTCAGATCAAAGTAGGTGAACCATATAAAAATGAGAAAATTTTGAGACGATCCAAGGGCATAGAATGGCTACCCATGGATGTAGAGGGTTTATGGGTAACTAATTCAATTGGCCATAGGGGTGATACCTATCGCCAGACTTTAGGTGAATGCTGTCTACATCTGGTTAGGTGCATGAGTAAGAAGAAAGGGGATTGATTGGACCAAATCAAAGCATAAATAGAATCAAAATTAGATGATAATGATATAGTTTGAATCATTACGATTTTTAATTTTTCTTTTTTACAGGTAATTAGTTTAAGATTTCGTTTGGAACAATTTTACACATTTTTTTGTCTTTACTTTCAAGAGATTTTGTTGTAAAAAAAGCTTTATAAAACAGTAATAAAGTTGTCCCAAATAAAATCTAAGTGTTTCAAGATCAAAAAGCAAATTTCTGGCCCAACAAGCTCCACCTAATTTAGAGTTTAAAAACAAATAAAAATTGTATATCCTAATTATTCCAAAAAGAAAAAAAATCAAAATACCCTAAAATGTTTTTCAGCCTCGTGCTCTAACTAGGGTTTCCTCCCTCATCTCTTCTTAACTGGGCTTGTACCAGCGGCTTTTGCCGCCAGTGTGGCTGGCCTCAGGGAAGTCCTTCTTTGCCCTTTGCCTTTATTTTTTTTATTTATTGTAGTGCTTTCTTCGTTAGGCTTTTCTGCTTTGGTTTCCTCTGGTTGTTTTTCGCCTGATGGCAGGGAAACGCCTCGCTGATCCTGGCTTTTAAGATGGATTGTTCAAATCTCGTTCATTTCTCGATGTTCTTTTTTGTCTTTCTTTGGTTGTGAGTTTTCCTAACTTTAAACCTTCCTCCTTTTGTTGCTTCCATTCTCTATGGATCTCGGAGGAGGAGATTATTGCTTTGGCGGCTCCCTTTTAGTTTTCCCTGGTTGATTTTTTCCCCCTCTAAGGAATTAAGCTATAAGACCCGCTTTTTTCATGCTACTTCCTAAAGGAAGTCATAAGTCCTACCCAAATAATTAAAACTTTGGGCAGCCTTGTTGTAGAGTTAGTTTGTAAGACTCATCTTTGGGAAACTCATAAATAGAGCAGAAAGCCTCATTTCAAATCGAATCCTCTGGCTACTTTCTATGAAAGTCGTAAGTCTCAATCTAAATCTAAATACTTGGGCTACTTCATAAAGAAGCCATAAGTCCCGTTCAAATCCAAACTCCTGGATTACTTCTAAACGAAGCCATAAATCTCAAACTAAATTAATTTTTGGGTATTCTAATAGATGTAAAACCTCAAAATCCAAATAAATTTAAAAATTCATAACTAACCACTTCAATCTACTCGGGATCCCTGAGAGGAGGCAACCCATAGTTGATAATTAGATTCTCTAGATATTACGGTCAATAATTGTTAGTGTTGGTATATTGAAACTACTGTATACCCCGGACGATGGAACCATGATCGGGTTTACTTCCATTTTCCCTACTATTTGAGACTAAAAATATATAAAATTTATTCATCTTTAATCGAGAGTTATTCCTTACATGTTAAGAGGGGTAATTAACCATGAGTGCTTGAGCTCATGGAAAGTAAGGACCCCAGTTCTTTAAACCCTGACACTACCCTCACAAGAAATCTGATTAATTTCAATCTAACTTAAGAGAAATGAAATCCTACGGCTGCAAAGCATGATTAATGCATTCGCGTCATTTTTCTTGAGCCAACAATATTTATGTATTAACCTTGAAAGGGAGCCGTCACATATTTGAATATTTGATTCAACCTTAAGCTTATTGACAATGTTTTAGTTATCTTGTTTGATCCGTCACATATTTTGATTAAGTTGGTTAATGATCTGGATTATAGTAGGATAATTTTTCCATAGAACTTACATAGTTAATAATTGTTATATGAAATTAACCATATAGTCTCCTCTGTTTGATGTTAGTGTTGAGTCTCCGGTGATCCCTATTTGGATTTCCTTCCCAAATATCCGCCCTCGCCTCTTCTCCCCCCATATCTTGCACGGCATGGGTTCGATTTTTGGTAGGCTGTTGAAGGTTGATAATGCTACTTCTATTGGTTCACGTCCTTCTATGGCTTGGGTATTGATTGAGATTGACATTCCAAAAACTTATCCTAATAAATTATGGTTAGGTCCGAAGAATTTTGGATATATTCATTAAGTTGAGATGGAATTTTTTCTCCCTTTTTTGCTTCCTTTAAAAGTATTTGGCATTTGATTGGTGATTATCGTCCTCTGCCTCGCTTACAGGTTTTAATAATGCTTCTAACCCTGTTAATGCTAATGTAAGTTATGATGGGAATAATGTTGATATTTTGAATATTTTGGATAATTGTGTTACACCTTCCTTGCTTCTTGCTCCGTCCATTAATAAGGGGGTGGATATTGTTGATTTTGGTGGTGAAACTGATAAGGTTGTGGAGTTGGGTCCTAGTGTTGATTATGCTAATTTGGCTGCTCCTTTGGTTGATGCTGTTCAGTTGGATTCTGTTTTGCCTTTGGGTTGCTCCTATTGATGTTGAGGTGGAAGCTACTCATTTGCCTTTAATTATTGCTGGTAATAATATGGAAAGTGTAATGAGATCTTTTATGCCAATAATTATTTAATTAACCTTATAGCTAGTCCTTTTAGTGTTGAAGCAGTGGCTGATATTGGTGGTATTTTCGAATCTTTAGTTTTTGGTGGTGGTGGAGTCGTTGGGGTCTCTGTCAGCCCTATTGCGTTTGTGAATGATTTGGACTCTAGGGGTTTTTTTCAGTCTCCATTGAATTCGTGCGAACCGGTTCTATCGAATGTGCCTATGTTAATGTTCTTGTTCCACTTATTTCCCCTGAAGCTTTGAAAGCTCATCTGGCGATTAATTTGGAAGGTGCTTACATGGTTCATAATGATTGGCTTGATGGTTCTACTTCCTCTGCTTGTGTGGGTGATAGGGAAGATTTGGATGGACTGAAGGAGGAGGATCATAAGCTGTATAACTTGAGAGTAAGTCGCATTGTTGAAAAAGCTTTTGGCTTGGGTGGTGGCAAACGTCATAGGAGGAAACATAAAAAGAAGTAGGCTCGTGTCTCTCTTTTTTATGTTGTTTGTTGTTTCTGGGTCTAGTATATTGCTTTATCATTTTGGGTTGAGGTGCTTGCTGGTTGGGGGGCTTTGTGTCTTTGGTTGGTTTGGATTGTCTTTCTATGGCTTGAGTTTGGACTATGATGAGGCTCCCTTATGCACAACCCCGAATTGGCCATGGTTGCTAGCAACCTTGGTGGTTCAATTATGATTAGTGGTCTTTATTGACACATGGGATAATGTTGGTTCTTGTGGTTCTCCTCAGGTTGCCTTGTGATTCGCTGCCTCCAATGGATAGTCCTTCCTTGGGGGTTGGGTGGTTGCAGGATTAGTCATTTCTGAGTCTGTCTGGCAATTTTCATTGTTTCTTCGATACTTTGAGGCCTTCTTTCTGTATTTTTTAGCTCCTTTTTTATTTGGTTGTTGCTTTCAAAGCATTATAATTTTGATTTGTCTTTTCTTGGGCTGTTCTACTTTTCTTATTTTTGAATGAAATAAAAATATTATTATCCAAAAAAAATCAAAATACCCTAAAATAAATTATATCATAGTGTATTCTTTAAATTGCTGACATTGGTCTTCCTGTTAAAAAAAGTAAGTAGAAAAAATGTACATCGAAGAATGAATAAATGAATTTCCCATATGGATTCGGTTTAGCTTTTGTCCCTTCTTCTTTGTCAATGGTGTCCTTTTTTATTGCTTGCGGTATGCTTCGCCGATGGTTTTCTGATGGCTGGTGGTTTATTCAAGGCAATGTTGATGAGGCTTCGGTATGCTTCCTCTTATGCCTTACTTGTTAGCAACCTTGGTGGTCTTTTTGCAGTTTGGGATTTATGGCTTGTTGCTCTTGGTTTGTAGCCTCCAATGGAGAGCCCTTGTTTGGCTTGCGGGTGGATAAGCTTAGCCTCCTGAGTTTGGATCTTTACATATGTTTCTTTTATTTTTTGTCTTACACTTTGTTATGTGGTTTGGTTTTTCAGCTCATTAGGATTCTCTTTCCTCCTCTATTGCTGCTCTTAGGAGCATTAGCGAGTCTTATGATTTTTGAACTTGTATCCTTTTCTTGATTAACATGCGGGACTTTTTTGGTTTAAATAAAAAAAACTTAAGACTATATTAATGTCAAAATGAATCGAATAATTTTTACCAATGCTTTAAAACCCGGCCCAGCCGGTCCGACCAGTTCAACCGTGAACCGGTTCAAAGGCCGGTTCGGCTCAACCTGAAAACCGACTCTTCAAACCGGCCGGTTTTGTCCAAAACCGCCGGTTCAACCGGTGAACCGGCAAACCGGTCGCGGTTCACTTGAACCGGCCGGTTCAAGATTTGTATTTTTTAATATTTAAATTTTAAATAACTTATTTTTAAATATTAAAAATATTTGTAATTTAATTTCAAATTTGAAATGCTTAATTTTAAATTAAAAATTCCAAATAAGCATTTCATAAAGTTTCATCTCTTTACATGATGTACTACACCTTTCTAGCTCAAAAGCCAATATATAGTAAAAGCTTCACCAAGGGAAAGTCTCCCAAGTGATGTGGGACTAAAAAATCTAAAGCTCCTATGTCTTTCTTCTTAACTTTTAATAAATTGTATTTATTACGTCATCCGGTTCAATCTCTAGTTCGACCGGTTCAACCGGTCGAACCGTGAACCGCTATCTCTACCGGTTCGTTGTCCGGTCCGGTTTTCACAACCTTGATTTTTACATTAATTTTAATATAAACTAAATCAGAATAATATTATAATATATATATTTTTACATATTTAAGTTCAAATAATCACTAATAACCCAGATGGTTTTGCGACCAGTCTGTAAGCCAAACAAAGCGAAGAACCACACATGCACGGTCAAACGAATTCAAGACATTCATTTCCCACCCCCTTTCAACAATCCAGATCTCTCCTCCATTCCAATCCAACGGCTCCCATCCCTCGCCCTCTTATCCTATAAGCTAAACTCTCCATCGCATCGCTCTTCCCACCTATAATTCTCCTCTCAAAACCCAATTCCTGCCACAACCACTCACTCGCTCCTCTCGTTTCGCAGAGAAGAGCGAGAAAGTACGAACTAGAGATCATTCATGGCCGCTTCATCTTCCATCACCGCTGCGCAGGCCCTCCTAGGGCGCACCATGTCCAGCTACGGTTCGGTCGCCCCAACCCTACCGGACCGCCTCTCTCTTCCGGCCGGGTTCGGTCTTAGCTCGTTCTCCGGCGGCGCTGTCAAGGCCGTACCACGCCGGCGAGCCGCCGTGGAACCACGGCGCCGGGCGTCGAATCCTCGTGCAGCGGCGGTCGAGACGCTGGAGGGGAAAACCGGAACGGTGGCTCTGATCGAGAAATCGATCAATACGATCCGGTTCCTCTCAATCGACGCCGTCGAGAAGGCGAATTCAGGTCATCCGGGGCTTCCCATGGGATGTGCTCCAATGGGTCACATCCTTTACGACGAGGTCATGAGATATAACCCCAAGAACCCTTACTGGTTTAATCGTGATCGCTTCGTGCTCTCCGCCGGCCATGGATGCATGCTCCAGTATGCGCTGCTCCACCTCGCTGGGTATGATAGCGTCCAGGTGAGTTTTTGAAGTAGAAAGTTGGTGGGTTTATGTTGTTGGTCGTTAGATCTCGTGTTGGTTATAATTTTGCGTAAGCATGTACTGTAAGAATGTTAAATTGTGTCTGGGGAATTTAATAAAGTTTCAGTTTTGGTATAGTTGCACCATGATTTTCTTGTATTGCCTACCCAACAAAGATTTACATTTGTGCCTGTAGAAGTTCTTTTTTTGGTTGAAATTTGAGTGCCGAACATAAATTTAATATACAAGGGGATTCGAATCCAAGATCTTTTCAATAATTTTCAAGATTTTTAATAACTATGCTACCAGACACCTATGTTAGGAGCAGAATCCTGGGGTTGCTTCCTAACTTGTAAATGAAGTAGAGATAAATTTGAATGAAGTATGCTTGATTGTATATCTTGTTTGATTATTGGAGAATTAATTTAGTTTTAATTAAGGTCCTGCTCTGCTTAATCGAGACATATCCTTGCCCATGTATATTCTCTGCAATTATAATTCTTCCTCTTTTGATGTGTGTAAAAATATCCTTTTGTCCTTGAGCGGGTTTAGGTTTTGTTTGGTTCTATTTTTTTAATATGTGATTTCTAGTTTTGATTTGCATGAGAAGTTTGCTTGCACATTGAACTGAATTTTGAAGCAACTTGTAATTCTCTGTGAGAGTACGAGGATTTTATTTCTAACGACGCAACTATGGCATATAGATCAGCTCCATTGTAATCAACAAACCTCAGTTTCAGCTATTGCAGAGTCACATAATCTATTACCAGTTTAGCATTACTAACAATATCAGTTTGTTCTCTCAGAAACACAAGATATAGAATAATTTTGTTTTTGTCGCTTTCTGTTTTATGTGATTGTTTGATATTACTAATGTTATTGTTTTGTAAATTTGTTTCCTTAGGATGAGGACTTGAAGCAATTCCGCCAGTGGGGAAGCAAAACGCCAGGGCATCCCGAGAACTTCGAAACACCTGGTGTTGAAGTCACAACTGGTTTGCTTCAAACTAATTGAAACTAAGATCCTTGCACTATATGAGGATTTTATTTATTTGTTTGCAAGCTGTTAAACTATTTCATTTTGTTCTTGGTTGTTTCGGTATGTAGGTCCTTTGGGTCAGGGAATTGCCAATGCTGTTGGATTAGCACTTGCTGAAAGACATCTTGCAGCTCGTTTCAACAAGCCAGACAATGAGATTGTCGATCATTATACGTAATGACCTTTATTCTTTATGTATTAATGACCTTTATTCTTTATTTATTTTTCTTGTGTAAGGCTTTCAAGATATGTACTGCAATGTTGCTAAGATCTATTGCTTTTTCGTAGATATGTTATTGTTGGTGATGGTTGCCAAATGGAGGGCATTTCCAATGAAGTTAGTTCTCTTGCTGGGCACTGGGGTCTTGGAAAACTTATTGCTTTCTATGACGATAACCACATATCTATTGATGGGGACACTGAGATTGCATTTACTGAAGACGTAAGTGCCCGGTTTGAGGCTCTTGGTTGGCACACTATTTGGGTGAAGAATGGAAACACTGGATATGATGACATTCGAGCTGCAATCAAGGAAGCAAAGGCTGTCAAGGATAAGCCCACATTGATCAAGGTCTGTTTGTTTTGAAGTTCTTTTTTTTTTTTTGCTTGGAGTCTCTCCTTTCTTCTTCTTCTTTTGCTCTTAACTGCTTAATTTCATACTTTTTGCAGGTTACAACAACCATTGGCTATGGCTCACCAAACAAGGCAAACTCATACAGTGTACATGGAAGTGCTTTAGGTGCAAAAGAAGTTGATGCAACCAGGCAGAACCTTGGCTGGCCCTATGAGCCTTTCCATGTGCCTGAAGATGTCAAAAGGTCTGCAGACTCCACACTGCCTTTCCTATTTTTCATATCTATCTGAAGTCTTTTTCACACAAGGAACCTTTTCGACATCACCTTTTTCAGCCACTGGAGTCGCCATGTCCCAGAAGGTGCTTCTCTTGAAGCAGAATGGAATGCCAAGTTCGCAGAATATGAGAAGAAGTACAAAGAGGATGCATCAGAACTAAAAACCATCATCTCTGGAGAACTTCCTTCAGGATGGGAGAAAGCACTCCCGGTATAGTCTGTATTAAGCTCATTTTCTTATCTTCCTTGATCATGAAGAACATCATAAATATCGCCATTCTATTCATTTTCCTATTCAGAGTTACACACCTAAGAGCAGTGCCGACGCTACTCGGAATCTCTCGCAGCAATGCCTTAATGCTCTTGCTACAGTCCTCCCTGGTTTCCTTGGAGGTAGTGCTGATCTTGCATCCTCCAACATGACTCTGTTGAAAAGTTATGGAGACTTCCAAAAAGCCACTCCTGAAGAAAGAAATCTACGTTTTGGTGTTAGAGAACATGGAATGGGTGCCATTAGCAATGGCATTGCTCTCCACAGTCCTGGCCTCATTCCCTACTGTGCAACTTTCTTTGTCTTCACTGACTACATGAGGGCTGCAATAAGAATATCAGCCTTATCTGAAGCAGGAGTCATATATGTCATGACTCATGATTCCATTGGTCTCGGTGAAGATGGTCCAACGCATCAGCCCATTGAGCATTTAATGAGTTTCCGAGCGATGCCCAACATTTTAATGCTCAGGCCTGCTGATGGGAATGAGACTGCTGGTGCTTACAAGATTGCAGTCCTTAACAAGAAGAGGCCATCAATCCTTGCCCTCTCCAGGCAGAAGCTTCCTCAGCTTCCAGGGACTTCCATCGAAGGAGTTGAGAAGGGAGGGTACATAGTCTCTGACAATTCTTCTGGCAACAAGCCAGACCTCATTCTTATGGGCACTGGCTCTGAGTTGGAAATCGCCGTCAAAGCTGCCGATGAGCTGAGGAAGGAGGGAAAGACGGTTCGAGTCGTGTCTCTTGTTTCTTGGGAGTTGTTTGATGAGCAATCCGATGAGTACAAGGAGAGTGTCTTCCCTGAAGATGTCACTGCCAGGATTAGTATTGAGGCTGGAGCAACGTTCGGCTGGGAAAAATTCATTGGTAGCAAGGGAAAGGCAATTGGCATCAACCGGTTCGGTGCTAGTGCTCCTGCTGGCAAAATCTACAAGGAGTTTGGTTTGACACCTGAGAATGTCGTTGCAGAAGCTAAGAGTTTATGAGTTTCTATAGTTTGAAGCCCCATCAAGAAGAGTTGAGGACAGTTCGGTTTGACATGAATTCAAATCTGTCTTCTGGCTATAAAGTTTCATAATTTTGCTTGCACTTTTTCCTGGTCTATGTGTCATTGAATCTGATTGTTGGATCAAACTGAACTTTCTATCAATCCACTTGTTTTCTTAATGCTATACATGAGGAACTTTCTATCATTTTCTTCTTCCTTCCACCGTCAAATCCTGTGTTATTTAATGCAAAATTTGTGAATCTTCCTTCTGTAAATTGCAAACATTGATCATTGTAACAATAAATAAGACATGAAGAATTTGAATTTTTGCCTGCTAAATTGAGCAATTTTGAGACAGGTTAGTTTTTTTTTTTTTTTTTTAACTTAAATTTCTGCGCTAAGCTTATTATGTATATGTTTATTTGTTATTTATGCAAGCTTTTCTCCTTTCAAGCGAGCATCCAATAACTTGCTTGTTTGATGAGTGGTGATAACCACCAAAAATGGAACAACGAACGTAATGAAGAAGCAATAATTAATATACAAAAGAAGCATGTTTAGAAGAAAGAACTGACATTGGTTGTTGGGGCATCAAATAAACCTCTTTTTATTTATTTTATCATATCATAATAATCTTGAAATTATTGGGTTGTTGAGTGACCAACCTCTTCTTCATTATCATAGATGTTCACACCATCTACCATTTATCAACATTCTCTTTTCAAAGCACAGGCACGAATTCGTCAGTAAACAAGTCTTGGATGAAAAGTAGGTAGTTTGAGAAAAAAAAACCGGATTGAACTACCGGTCGTTGGTTGGAGATATTATTCTGTGTGGACACCAAATCATTTGGAGGCGAATTAGTGTGCGTCATGTCACCTCGTATACAGTGGGTACACAACCATCGCATACAACAAAAGGGTGATGTGACACGTTCTAATTTGTCTCCGAACAGCATATCCATATCTACACAGAATAGTTTCACCGTTGTTTGACGGAATCCCTTCTTCCCCACTTCCCCACTTCCCCACTCGAATCCTCTAACTTGCCCCAAAAAAATAAAAATGATAAAATATCAAGGAATATAAAGAGAATATAATTTAGTGCATAGTTTTAATGAGGCACTATATAAGTAGAATAGATAACATCAAGAATATAAATTGATTTTAAATTCATAAAATGTTATATTTCTATGACCTATATGTAATGAACCCTCATTTTATATCAGAAATGATGTATTTCTGCGCTAAGCTTGCTATGTATATATTTATTTGTTATTTACGCAAGCTTTTCTCCTTTCAAGCGAGCATCCAATAACTTGCTTGTTTGATGAGTGGTGGATAACCACCAAAAATGGAACAACGAACGTAATGAAGGAGCAATAATTAATATACAAAAGAAGCATGTTTAGAAGAAAGAACTGACATTGGTTGTTGGGGCATCAAATAAGCCTTTTTTTATTTATTTTATCATATCATAATAATCTTGAAATTATTGGGTTGTTGAGTGACCAACCTCTTCTTCATTATCATAGATGTTCACACCATCTACCATTTATCAACATTCTCTTTTCAAAGCACAGGCACGAATTCGTCAGTAAACAAGTCTTGGATGAAAAGTAGGTAGTTTGAGAAAAAAAAACCGGATTGAACTACCGGTCGTTGGTTGGAGATATTATTCTGTGTGGACACCAAATCATTTGGAGGCGAATTAGTGTGCGTCATGTCACCTCGTATACAGTGGGTACACAACCATCGCATACAACAAAAGGGTGATGTGACACGTTCTAATTTGTCTCCGAACAGCATATCCATATCTACACAGAATAGTTTCACCGTTGTTTGACGGAATCCCTTCTTCCCCACTTCCCCACTTCCCCACTCGAATCCTCTAACTTGCCCCAAAAAAATAAAAATGATAAAATATCAAGGAATATAAAGAGAATATAATTTAGTGCATAGTTTTAATGAGGCACTATATAAGTAGAATAGATAACATCAAGAATATAAATTGATTTTAAATTCATAAAATGTTATATTTCTATGACCTATATGTAATGAACCCTCATTTTATATCAGAAATGATGTCAATAAATATTTTTTAAGGATGATTTAATTTTAAGTGTTTAGCTTGTGATTCTGTATTAAACTAATCGCAAGTCATATACATTGTCAATAAACATGTGTTAGGTAAAAGAATCAAACATATTGATGACTTTTTTAGATTATAGCCTAAAATATCTCAAAAATCAAATAAAATTATGTTAAATTAATCCTTATATTTTTCTTACATAGTTCTCCTTGAACTGCATCTGTTAAGTGAGATATGAGTCAAGTAACAGTTATTTTCTAGCGGGCTTGGCTGCTACTGATGGAATTGTCACTGTAGAAAGCTGTGGAAGAAGCAGCTTGCAGGTAAATAACACACAGATCATGGATGAGCTTCCCACAGCTACCCTATATGCATTGGGACAACATAAACATTGCTTGAATTGTGTCAATCATTGGATAACCAGTGTGGGTCAATGCTCAAACAAACTCATGGGGTAGAAATTGTCACGCCCCATTTTTGCTCCTTCAATCAATTTGAAGTGTAATAGATAAGGAGAATCTGAACAGATATATCTCTTAACAACACATCCTGAATTATTTCGATCGGAATTAAGTGAGTTAAAAATTACCTATTCACACTATCCCAACATAATACATTTTGTGCAGTCTTAGGATTCTATCTCAATATTTCATAAGTGGAAGCATATTCAAAACACATTAAATAAAATGCAAGGCTTTAGTAAACTTTCAAATAAAGATGCATACCAAAAAATCTTTCTGCACAACTTCCTACTCTAGCTTCTATCCATAACCAAAACTTATGTATACAAAAATACAGTCAATTACTACATAGAGCCCTATTAGCTCCTTCCTTTTTCATGCAGTACAACCACTACTAATGATTTAGCTCAACAACATACATTACTAGATGTGGGCTTCGAAGAATTTCACACACTGGCCTCTCCACGGTCCATTTTCTTTTTCGGGTCATCGAGGACAGTTTTACCTAGTAAGTTCTTAGGCAAATTTTCAGAAGACATTTTGTTTTTAAAAAAACATTACCCATATATTTCGCCCTTATTTTGTGAGGACTTTATGATTTTAGTTCACGTTTCCTATAAGCGCAAGCCCCTATAGTTAATTATCCCTCCCGATAACGAGAGAAAACTTTCAATTAGTCATCGAATAGATACATAGTATTTAGTGTATAGTAGCAGCATATTTTGGCATTTGAAACTTAATATTTAAAATTAGAAATTCACCACCCTGTACTTAGAACGGATAGTGGGGGGAATGATGATAAACCCGATCAAGATCTCATGGTTCCGTCGTCCTGGGTCATCATGATCACTGGTCTACTTAGTTAGAGTAGATAGTCGACCCAATCTGATAGAAGGTTCCTTATCGGCAACCGTGAGTTGTTTGGTCCAAGGGTGCCTCGTAGGTCTGGGGTGACTATTTGTCTAACAGAATAAATTAAATTTGAATCTACCTTAGCTAACAGAGGGCTTTGTGCCCTATCAATAATATCCTATTGATTCATTACTCAAGGATTTAACATCATTGGGGAACATACGTGATCTGACCATGACCGTAATTTAATGATGCCATTTAGCGGCAAAATCATCCACTCAGAAGGTCTCGATCATAATCGTTTACCTGTGGTGTCATTTTGTAGTGAAACCACTAATTAGAGGACGCGTACCAGATCCTTACTGGTAATAGACAGTTTGAGAATAATTCCTAGTGATATTCTTGATTAGATATTTGCTCTTTATAAGCTGAACTGATATTCCCTTACCTCTCTTTCCTCTTCCTCCCTCCATTTCCTCACTGATTTCAGCAAATAATGATTTCAACAGATTTCAGTTTTCTACTGATTTCAGCAAACACCAATTTCAGCAACACTGCAACCCTCACATGAATTTAGCATATTTCTCCGCAACAGCCCACTTCATAATCCACCCCACCTTATTGAAATTTATTCCTCAAAATTCATTATCTTAGCGGCCATTAAATAAACAAGAAATTTGTTGTCTAATGACTTCTTTCTATTTTTCTTTCAGTTTGATTTTTTTTTTTCATTTTACTTTAATATATTACAGTTTTTGAGTTATTTTGTATTAAAATTTAGTATCTTTTTTATTCCTAAGTATAAGTGAAATTTTTCTGTAGGTCAATTTTATTATGTAAAATTATCTAATGGACATCTGTAACTCATTTCCTTAGCAGTTACACAAAAAAAATATTATAAATATCTGACATGTCAGCTAGAAGAGTAAGCTTGTAAGCAACTTTCCAATCTTCTCAATAACTTCAAAAGGTATATATGCCTATGACTCAATTTTTCCCCTTGACCAAATTTGATTGCACCTTTCACAGGTTTAAACTTTAGAAATACAAAATTACAAACTTCAAAGTCTACTACTATGTGTTTTGGATCATAATATTTTTGCTAGAGATCATGAGTAGCTTTCAATATGTTTCTGATTAATCTCATTTTTTCTATTGCTTCATCAACTAGCTCTGAGCCCATTAGTTGTATTTCCCTTACTTCAACCTAAGTTAAAGGAGCTCTACACTTCCTACCATAAAGTGCTTCACATGATTTCATTTTTGTACTTGATTGATAACTATTATTTTTTAAGTAAATTCTATCAGTAGTATGTGGTCTTCCTAGCTACCTCAAAGATTAAAAACACAGACTCAATAAGTCTTCTAATACATGAATTATTCGTTCATATTGATTATCAGCCTGAGTATGGAAAGCTATACTAAAGTGTAGGCTTGTGCCCAAGCCTTCCTGAATGCTTTTCAACAACATACAAGTGAATCGACCATCTTTGTCTAATATAATAACTTTTGGGATATCATGCAATGTGATAATCTCTTTTATATATAAGCTTGTCAATTTATCTACTAAATCAGTTTATTTGATAGACAAGAAGTGATCTAATTTTGTCAGTCTATCAATAATTATCATGACCCTATCTAGATCTAATAAATTCCATTAAAAATCTATTGCAATATCTTCTCACTTCCACTTAGGAATAGATAGTGATTGCAATAGTTTTCTAGGTCGCTGATGTTCAACTTTCATAATTTGATATGCTTCACACGTAGTTATATATTTAGCAATATCTTTCTTCATGCTTAGACACAAGAAAATTAAATTCAAATCTTTATATATTTTAAAATTGCCTAGATGAATTGATTAGCATGATTGATGAGCTTCCTACAAAATTTCTTTTCGAAAATTGAGATTTATGCTTAATAATTTTATCATTATCAATAAAAATATATGTTTCCCTAAGTAAGCTTGTTTCATTAAACGTTTTAAGCTTATTTGATCGATAGGTTAAAGTTGGTTTTACTATCATCTTATGTAAGTATTCTATAATTTTAAAATCTCTAACTTTTAATTGCATATTTTTAGTTTCCTTGATCAACTAAACCTCTAAGTAATCATTTGATTCATCATTCCTATGAATTTGTAACTTAAAACATCAACCACAATATTAATTTTTTCAGGATGATACTGAATATTCATATCATAATCTTTGATTAGCTCCAACCATCTTTACTATCTCAAATTTTATTCTTTCTATGAAAATATATGTTTTAAATTTTGATGATCAGTAAAAATTTCATATCTTACCCCAAACAGATAAAGCCTCCAAATTTTCAAAGCAAACATCATTGTTGTCAGCTCAAAGTCATGAGTAAGATAATTTCTTTCATGTGATTTCAACTATCTCGATGCATATGCAATTACCTTTCTATTCTACATTAGAACACATCCTAAACCCTTTAAAAAAACATCACTGTAAATCTGATGAAATTGTCAAAACTGGTATTGATCCGAAATACGAAATTTCTGTATACGAGAAGATCAAAGATGCAGCAGCTAAGCACCTTTTCTAATCCTGTTACCAAGTTCAGCGCCTGCACCTGCGTGCCAGTCTGAATCATCACATAACCTACAGAATTCGTGTAGTATCAATCAAGATCAACCTGCAGGTGCACAATAAGACATAACATTGCATCCAAGAACGACAAATAATAGAGCAATAGATTCCGCCATTAAAATGGACAAATTAATATGCTCCAGACTATACTGAAACGATCGCAATCTATAGTTTGATGTCTTATGCAAAGAGAAAACCAGTACCAACTAAATATAGATTTGTTAGAAGTGTATACAAACTGTAAGATAAACCAATCATCAACGGATAATAAGACGTCGGTACAATGCGGTTCACAGTTGATTTGAGTTTTGGGTAGAAAATACTCCTTCAATGAAACCTCCTATCATATGGATTAGGCCTTGTTTGTGATTGCATTCTCCCAGAAGAGTGGGGGGGCTTCGGCTGCTGCACTGACGAGGGCGAAGCCATTTTGCTGGATGACTGCCTTTCTGGTCCACCACCTGCGCTAGCCCAAGAGCCGTGCGGATGGGCCTGTGGAATGGAAGGCAGAGCCAATCTTCGCGATGGCTCGAATTCCCGTCGGTCACTCCCATAAATCCCTGGATCATTCATTAAACCATGAAACATATCAAAAAAAGACATTAGCCGATCATCCATCATTTAAGCTTCGTTTGGGACGGCTTTCTTAATGCTTCATAAAGCAACTTTTTAGTACAAAATTTTAAAAAATTATGCTAAAAATTTACTTTAAGAAACAGAAAGAAAATCGTCCCAAACGAAGCCATAATCCTTCATAAATTTAACAGTTTCTTTCATGTGCATCAAATAAATTTGCGAATCATCGTTTCTTCACTTATATCCTCAAAAGATCAAAAAAAAAAAGCTCAAGTTATTCTGACTAAAGTTTTGGCTAGGAATGGTTTTAAAGGAGTTCAATTTGATTTGAGATAACTTCAACATAAATTTTGTTGATTAGCTTGATATTGCAATTATGTCAAAGAGAGTTGAATGACTTTGAGATCCTCCTACATCAAATGTTTCAGCAATCAAATTAATTGCAATAGGAAAAAAAATACCACCTAGATAATTCTTCATGTATGAAATCGAATTAATTCTTAGTTATCAACATTATTTATAAGATTATGACCCATTACAATTGCCCATATTTTCATTGTATAATATTGGATTGATTACTTTATAACTATCATAATCTAAAATATCTCATTTGTTCTTAGGGATTGTTTGATTGAATATTTTTTAAAAAAATATGTATTTTAAAAATGCAGTTTAACTAAAATGTATATATTTCAAAAATGTATGAATCATTTGGTTGGATGCAAATCAAATGCAATGGCACGTGTTTATTGAAGTACGGTTTAAATGCACTGAAATATGAACAATGGAGCAACGATGAGTGGGCATTCTGCATGGAAGTCTGGCACGTTACTACATTAGCTTGGTCCAATGCGTAGGTACATAAACAATAGCTTGAATTCTTACTACAATTACGAAAATACAAGACGAGCGAAGTGAGAGGCAGAAGTGATGAGGGAGGTAAGGGGCAAGTGTATTGCAACATTTTTTAAAATTGTGCTACCCGACGCGTGACTCAGCTTAATTTAGGTGAAAATCACATCGACGCCTCAAGGATATATATATATATATACTTGTTAGCCTACCTAAAACGCACACACGCAAACAACTTAGCAAGATGAAAAGCTGTTTGTTTGTCACGAGAAGTAAAACGCCAAATTCCGCGCCATTAAATTTTTCTCTGAAGGGTTAAACTTTATAAATCCTAATTTCTTTGGTTTGAGTACATTTAAATTTTTTGAATGGCTTAATTAGGATGTCTATTGCTTTGAATGTTTTCATTTTCCCATATTTGAATCAAATTTTCCATTCTAGGGGTTTTACTTGAAATGGTTGAAGGCAAAGTGAAATCCACAATGGCTTATAGAAAGGACTGGACATGGAAACATAGCGTGCAAGTTGATGCTTGAGGAAGAAATAAAACATATGTATATTTGAATTGTAATTACTGTGGCAAGATAATTAGAGCTAGCATTATAAGAATGAAGGAATACCTCTCTAGATCTCACAAAAATATGACAATGTGCCAAACTGCTAGAAATAGCAAAAGAGGATATCCGTTCATATATGAATAAGTTGAGAATGTTGAATCAATTGGAGCAACAATTTGATGATAGAGTTGATGTAGGCTCATATTATGGGAGTGAGCGTAGTGTTCGAGATACGTCATCTTTCCTACCAACATATCTAGCAAGGTTCAACTGTTCGCATGGATCATTATATGATCAATTTGGAGGATGACAGGGAGGGAGATAGGTAATGAGCAAATTGCAAATATCATCTCCAAAGATTGCAAGGGACACCCTGCAAACGTGTCTATATGGACATTGGGAGATTTTTTTTATGAGAACGTCATTCTTTTCAATGTAGATACCTTCCCTTCCTATTATAATATAATGTGTTCCATTGATGCATCAGGATATGGATTGGGGGCGGTTCTCACGCAGAATTAGAGGCCCATAGCTTACTTCAACCAGGAATTGACAACCAAAGCTAGGCTGAAGTCAATCTATGAGATGGAGTTGATGGTCATTGTGTTGGCCATTCTGAATTGGCAGCCGTACTTGCTGGGCCGACATTTCATCATCAGGACAAACCAAAGGAGTTTGAAGTACCTATTAGAACATAAGATGGTGACCAAGGAGCACTAGAGGTGACCATTTAATCTATTGGGATATGATTTCAAGACCCATCATAAGTTAGGACTAGAGAACAAGGCAACTGATGCATTGTCCAGATGCATGTGAGAGCTTTAGGAGTTAGCCATTTCAATACTAATGATGTTAGATTGTGGGGTTATTAAGGAGGAGAGTGTCTAGGATGAGAAGCTGAGGGGGATTAGGATGGATGTGTTGAGGGGTGAGAATAGCCACTATGGCTATTCCCTAGAGAGGGAGAGACTATTGTACCAGGGGAGATTTGTATTGCCATGGACCTCGGTCCATATTCCTCACATTTTGCAGTTCTACCAAAGCGCTATCGCGAGTCAATCAGGGATACAAAAGACGTACAAGAGGTTAGTAGTAAAGTTGTATTGGAAGTAGAAGCATAAGGATATGGAGGAGATTGTGACTAAATATGAGGTGTGTCAAAGGAGAAAATATATGGCCATGATTTCGAGAGGGTTAATGCAACCTCTAGCTCATCTAAACAGAGTGTGGGAGGAGGTTACCATGGATTTTATAAATGGGTAACCTAGATCTGAAGGGTTTATAGAGATTTTGGTGGTGGTGGACAAATTGAACAAGTATGTTAATTTTTATTCCCCAACGACATCTATATACGTCAGTGACAGTTGCATCAACATTCATCAGAGAGGTAGTCGGATTGCTTGAGATACTAGAATCTATTCCGGCCAAGATAAGTTAATCATTGGTCATTTTTGGAGGGAGCTATTAAGGTTGCAGGGGATAGTATTGAAGAGGAGCACCACTCACCACCCCCAGACGGACGAGCAGACGGAGGTGATAAATAGGAGCCTAGAGACATATCTACGATGTTTTGTTTTGGAGACAACTTGGCTGTGGGCTAAGAGCTAGCATGGGCAAAGTACTAGTACAACACTTCATATCATTCAGTCTGACATATGATGACTTTCAAAGTGTTGTACAGTAGGGACCCACCTCACTGGTGCATTTTGGGCATACTAACACACCAGTCTCGTCGATGGAGTAGCACATGGTGGAGAGGGATATGGTGTTGGCTGAATTGAAGGCATTTGTTGAGGTCCCAGCAAATCATGAAGAAGCAAGCAGATGGGCGCATGAAGGACGTGCAATTTGAGATAGGTGATAAGGTATACTTGAAACTTTGTCTCTACATGCAAATGATGGTAGCTAATAGGAGGAATGAGAACCTGACCCAGAGGTACTTTGGTCCCTATGAGATACAAGAGAGGATTTAAGCTGTGGCTTATCGATTGAAGTTACTCCCGATCGCTACTATACATTCGGTGTTCTACGTGTCACAATTAAGGAGAGCTATCAGGGATCATGCATCCAGCTCAAAGTTACCTGTGACACTAACAAAAGATTTGGAGATGGTGTTGGAACCATTGCAGCTGAAAGGGGTATGACAGGGAGAGGGGGATCAAAGAAGTGTTGATAAAATGAAAGAACTTACCCGACTATGACGCCACATGGGAGTTGTACGAGAGGGTGAAACAACAATTTTTATTTCCACCTTGAGGATAAGGTGAGTCTTTGGAAGGGGGGTATTGTTGGACCGGTCTCTCCTAGACTGACAAAATGTTATGTGAGGCGGAATAGGGCTCTGCCCTATTGAATTCCGGAACATGGTTCCGCCTTGCTCAATGCTATCCCTTTTGGGGGTGGGCCCACAAGAATTTTCAAAAAAGAAAGGGGAGACTATGAGGGAAAATTCAAAGTGAGAGTAGTTTTGAGATTTGCTGTGTTTTTAGCATGCTTTAAGTAGATTGTTTAACCTAGGGTTGAGTTTTTAATGTTTTGTTTGCTGAATTTGAAGTTTTCTTAGGTGAGAGAGCTCTAGCCGACAGTTACGGATTTGGGAGAGTTAGATCTTCCTCTCCAATTGAAGAACCAATTGTATCTTGCATTTTTCTTCATAGTTCTTGCAATAAAAAATTGTTCTTGGGTGTTCTTCTTCCTAATTTCCTTGAGTCGTTCGCTGATTTGGTTGAAAGTGCATCCCCTTCCTATCACGATCCTAGCCAAATTGATAGAAAAAAGTAAATAACCTATACTGGACACCCTGTACCATATACTGTAATACATCTCCTTCTTAAGAAGGTAGGCGAGTTTCCATATCACGTGAAGAAGATAAACAAATTCATATACAAATATTTCTGAAAGCGAGTTTTGAGGAAGTTTTCAAAGAATAAAACTCCCATAGCTTGATGCAAGCAGAATTACTTCAGCTTAGTCCAGAGCCCTACATTGGGTACCCATACCCACACCCACCCACGTACCCACCCATACCCAATTGGCATGGGTGGGTATGGGTATGCCCATAGCCTCGTGGGTGGGTATGAGTGGGTACTCAACATCAAGGGACAAATCGATTTACATTACTAATCATCATATGCATGCAGTATATTATAGTAATTCTTAGTATGCAATGCACAGCACTGAACCGCGTCGCAATCACGATAAATTTTGATATGTGGCTTAAAAGTTTGCAGTCAGAGAAAAAGACAAAAAATCTCAAGGCCATTAATCCGTGGCAGACTGCATTCAAGAAGCGTGGAAAGTGGGTGGGTGTGGGTGGGTATGACATCTCGAAAGTCACCATAAGTGGGCATGGGTGCGCAAAATCTGCTAGCGCAGAGCGTGGGCACCCAATGGGTATCCAACTAGGACCCCATGTAGGGCTCTGCCTCTTACCTAACACTACAAAGTATATTGGAGGCAAGGCAATATTTAAAGTGTATGCTTACTTCCACTTAACGGTTGAATTGTGCTTGGGCTAGGAGCATTGAGGGAAAATAAGTTAGAAATATTATTTCGAGTGAAAATTCTAGTTCGGT